TAAAGTTACAACTGCAATTAAACCTAAAGTCTAGTACATTAGTTGATGTAAGACATTATTTACAATTACAAATCACTACATTAGGCCTATAATGTTTACTAGATCTAGGCCTTGCCTGTTGCATATATTGCCAATCTTCAACACCAGTTACTGGGTTACATCAATCACATATTTTCTTTTTTTTTTGTTGAACATACACTTGTACGTTGTACTCTAAGACTTGTATTTGATCTACAGATGACTGATGGAATATTGTAATTTACTTCTGTACATCAATTCAGTCTCACTGTATTTCAGTGGGTGGCTTTTAAAAGTTAAAACTGTAAGCGTAATACACACAAATAATGTAACACTGTGTCGTATTTACTTAACGTATGGCAGTTGCGCTATATCCTAGGGGAGGGCATAATTATTAATTAATAGGCATTATAGGCTAGAGGAAATTTTGCCTCCCTTCACACCTGCACCCGGAGGCAACTGCCTTCCCTTGCCCCCCTCTTGCTATGCCACTGGCATAGCCAAAGTTTTCTATATATTCTTCAGCTCACTTTTGGGACTAAAACATTTATTGATACTGTGGTATATGGTGCTAAAACATTTCAAAACATTCATTGATACCGTGGTATATCGTGCTGAAACGTTTCAAGACATTCATTGATACCGTGGTATATCGTGCTGAAACGTTTCAAGACATTCATTGATACCGTGGTATATCGTGCTGAAACGTTTCAAGACATTCATTGATACCGTGGTATATCGTGCTGAAACGTTTCAAGACATTCAAGTTAAAGAGATTAATAGCTATAAATTATGTTGTCTCACTTCTGACTCAAAATCACTCATAAGGATTATCAAACAAAGTTTCCATTTTATTTATTAAAAAAGAAGAAAAACATCTACAAACGTACCACCATTCTTTTCCCCATCTCTTCTCTCCTGTTTTGCTTTCCATAGTGATATTTCTGATAAAGCTTTCTGCTTTATTCTTTTAAACTCTTCATCTTCACCTAATTACAAGTATCAGGGTTTAGTCTTAAGAATACAGCACCAATTTTACTTAAGAAACTACCACCTCCTCTTCAAACTTCACAAAATAACAAACGAACAATATTAACATATTTAAATAAGAAGAAAACAATAAGGGTCAAGAAGAATATTATTTGTAGAACATAAACAACTTATTTCATGTTGGAAAGTTAATTTTCACCCACTAATGATTAGGTTAGGCTATTGTTAAATCTTACCTAGTGGAGGCTGGAGGTATCTTGGTTCTATTGATTGAGCTATTTGTAACAAGGCACAAGAGAGATTCTTAACAGATAATGAGGTTGGTGGTGGAGATGCTGAACGCTGTGACAATTTTTCATCCTCCATGCTAGAGTTACCCGGAGTTTCTGAATATTCATTTTTTAATCTAGGAAATAATGAAGCTTATGTAAATATAGCTGGTCAAATACCGAAGTATTTTGAAAAAATACATGAGAAATACAAAAGTTAATACAACTTCTTCATAATCAATTATAATGTATAATTCAAACTTAATGAAAAAAAGTCTTATCTCAATCGCTGTGTTACAAGATATAAATATAACAAGTGGGGTGAATGAATAATGGTGTGTTACAAGATATATATAACAAGTAGGGTGAATGGATAATGGTGTGTTACAAGATATAAATTAACAAGTGGGGTGAACGAATAATAGTGTGGTACAAGATATAAATCAACAAGTAGGGTGAATGAATAAGTGTGTTACAAGATATAAATTAACAAGTAGGGTGAACGAATAATAGTGTGTTACAAGATATATATAACAAGTAGGGTGAATGAATAATGGTGTGTTACAAGATATAAATTAACAAGTGGGGTGAACGAATAATAGTGTGTTACAAGATATATATAACAAGTAGGGTGAATGAATAAGTGTGTTACAAGATATATATAACAACTGGGGTGAATGAACGACAGTGTGTTTCAAGCCTACTATACGTGGTCAAACCACACAAACTATCACACTGTTTACCAAAATTCTTCAGTTATTATTCGAGGTGACTATTTCAACCAATAAAAATCAATAGGTCCTAATATTTAAGTGCTAGAACAATTATAATAAAAAAAAATTACCATTTACTTTGCATTAAGTATAAATTTAAGTTAAAACTACCAAAATTAGTGTTAACAAAAAACATGTCATATACAAAAACAAAAGCTAAAGCAGGAATAATTTTACCATAATGGAGCAACAGTGTGGCCATCAATCTACCTATGTACGTGATTGAAATAATAAACACAATGGTGCCATCTGTTATGCCGAAATACAACAATATCTCAATGCTAGAAGTGGTGACCGAGGCTTATGAAGTGTGGCACTATCTATATAGTGGCATCATAAACAAAAATCGATAAAAAATTTCACACTTTGGGTATTCATGACAATTATAAAAAAACAACCATGGTATGTGCAGCCATTTCTTTATAACAGAAGACAATTTTAAATAAAAGTACTCTCCTTACAACAACACAACTTTCACTAGAACTGTGAGGCCATTGATTATATCTTTATTTATGTAACTTTTAAATGTAGTACTAAAAAACAGGAATTCCCTGTGCAACATTTTCCAGAAAAAAATATTTTTGAAATATAACTACTAATTACTAGCACAAACAGCCACAAGTAGAATAGTGTTTCTGCTAGTAATAAAAATAAAAACAACAAAGAAATCACTGTCATTGTTAATATCTTCTAATTATTATTTATTAGCTTTTTAAATAATTAAGACACTAATTACACAGTAAGATATAAAAGATTAATTAGCTACTAATTAATAACTGGACTGAGAATATTGCAACCATTATGACCACTTATTGTAAGTACTTAACAGAATGCAAGAAGAAGGTGGAGAGCTTCTGAAAATACTCATTATCAAGTTTCCTTATTTCTAAATAATGAAATATCTTTACAATATGCAGGTGGTAAATAACATTATGTTATAGTTATTAAATATATTTTTCAGTTTTTGTCTTCAGTGAGGCAACAGTGTTTGAAATATAAAGGAAAGCCTACTAAAAGTAAAATTACATCAGGTCATTTCAAAACAAAATGTACAATAATAACTACCCAATTATAAACATTAAAAAAAAAGAATTTGCCAATCAATAATGGGACAAAAGCTTCACTAAATAAACATGAAAATACATACATTTTTAATTCCTAAGTGCTCCAACCATAAGGTCCTTAGTTTTGAAATGTGAAATACAAACATATCAATTTAATACCAGAATACTCTAGCCATAAGGTCTTTACTTTTAAAAAGTAAAATATAAACATTACTTTAATGTCTGATTACTTCAACCATGAAATCTGGAGTTACTAATGTCAGTAAAAACTGGTAAAACAAATAATGGGCTTTAAATAAAATAATTAATTTTTTTAAATTGGTAATTTAATCTACATACAGGTTTCAGAACGATATAGCATTTCTTTCTATCATTAAGTTTAGGTAATTTAGAGTATACTGAACAACTTAAAACTAAAGTTTAATTTTTCTTAGATACCAATTCAAGTCAAACCTATCAACACTTGATAGGTTGTGTTTACAGGTGTTTTAAGTACTCACTTGATTCAACACTACAGATTCTGAGTCTTTTTTACAGAAACATCATCAAAATATAGGTGTTTCAATGGATTGTAGCATTTTAAACCTCACTTAATAGTTTGAATTAATTGATTTTTTAATAAAAAATTTTTCATTATACACAAATCTAGGGACAGTACGGAGTATATCTAATGATATTTCATTCAAATGTTTTTCACTATATACAACACTCGGGAGAATACTGATGTAATCACTTGGACATAATTTTGAAAATACACATTCTTACCTATTTTTCTTACAACCCCAATATAACCCATCACACTGCATATCGTAACCCCTGTGCTCAATTGCTGTTTTCCAAGCTTCTCTGTCCTTCACCTGTCAAGAGAATAAGTAGTAAAATTCATTAATCCAAAACTAAAGAATGTTTTGAATAATATTCTAAGTAATGTTCCTTCTACACTTCACAGACTCTTCTAAAAGCCTTTTAACAATACAAAATAAACTATACTTTTGTGCATTTAGTTTCATAAATAATACTAAAACAATATGATGCGATTAGATCAGATATAAATTTCAAACTGTTTTGTTTTTACATTAAAGTGTGCAATAACAATTGATAGCTTACAAAACTAAAACATTCTTAATTATTACACATAAATTTCCCCTTACCTTGCCAATGTGATATGCTTCCCAGTAAATATTTAAAGAAAAGAAAAAAAGGTTGTAACAGGTAAATACAGGTTTTAATAGGCTCACTGACCAGAAAAAATAACTTTTATATGTTTTCTGCCTAACTCCTTTGGCAAACAACCAACTTTCCAACTAGAACCACTCATAAAATTACATTATTGGGGCAAAACAGGTTTAGTGTGTTTTTCTAAAGAATACTTACCAACTTCCAAGTTCTCTTTGAAACATCTTTCTACATTTAAAAATACATCCTCACAAACCTACAATTCATCTTATTAACAAATAAACCTGCAATCTACCAACATCACTGACAAACAAACCTACAATCCATACAACCTTACCAAAAGACACTACTACAATTCATATACCGTTATTAACACGTGAACCTTCAATCTACACACACAAATCTATAATCCACTCATCTTACTAACACACAGCTAAAGTATTTAAAACTGACATAAGATTGATATACAAGATATTCAGTTTGAAGTACATAATAGTGAAAAACTGTTTCAAGAAATGTCTACAGGCCTACAACCAAGGCTAATGTGTGTAAATGAAATCACTAGATATTTTTTGTTTACTACATATTCTTAAAGCTCAAAAACATAAGGAGAGGAGAGGTGTGTTAAATATCATTTGTGATAAGTTACATACAGAAAAATACATATTCAAGAAAGGCTTAGAAAGTGGATGGTCCCAGTATCACAAAATGCAATAAAACTTAAATCATTGAGCAGTATACAGCTCAAATGTTTTACAAAGAACAGAGAGAACTTCATAGTGACTGGCAATGTATACTTTGCTACACATATGAGTGCTCCAGATAAGGGGGTGAACCAGTGTAATTCCTGATCAAAATTCAGCCATTTATAGCTTTAAAAACATTGTTCAGAAATTGTTTTACTGCCGTGAAAAACCAAATATGGCGCCTACTGTTTTCACAGCAATTAATGGGTGCATTTTTGTAGCTTTCTGCAGTTCTGTACAATATCTGTGTAGTTCATATACAGCAGAGTTGCAAAAATAAGTGCTCTCTAACTTCCAGACATTTCTATTGATACACTCATGATTAATCCATTTAATTTATAACCAATTTCTGTCCAATTTGTGTAAAAATAATTATACTATGCCCTCCCCTTTTTCCTTTTGTTTTAAAAAAAAAAAACATACTTTGATGTAATAGTAGAATGTGGAGTAATGTGGACTATGTTATGGCAGCTGAAAAACCATACAGCATTTGAACTATTTCAAGCCATGTAGATTCTGCTGAAAAAACCTGCATAGATATAATTGACATGGTTCGACTTAATATTGAAAAAAAATTTTAACTACTGTATAGGCCTATACATTTTGTGTACAAACCCTTCTTATAGTACTTTGTTTAGCCTATTTAACAAGTTAAAGAAAAAAATGCACCTTTATGTTTTAATAGGCCTATAAATTTTGTATAAAAATATTCGAAAAAGTTGTAATATCATTATCATTATATCACCATGGTGATGTAATTTGCTAAATTAATCCTGTGCCAAATCCCACCTTTTGAAATTATAAAATAATTCATAATTAGTAAAATTATTATTATTATTTTTTTACCACAAAATGTTACTGCTGCACTTTGTAAAAAAAAAATTAAAATTACTCTGGCTGACAGAATTCTAGGAGTGATTATTCTTTACAGGAAAAAAGTTATTTGGAGTACTAAATCTTAAGCTGAGAATGCCACTTAAATGACAAAATGTAGCAAAGGCTCAGAATAAGTCCTCAAGATCAATGTGGACCTTCAAAATATAAAGTCAACAAATATAAAGTTAAGTATCTTATGTAGGTAATGTTGCAGTATATATAACTTATTTTGTTGAGAGTGTAATGAAATTAAATAAATAAAGTTTCTTATTGATAAGTTTCAACTTCAATGTATTTAAAGAAAAGTGGAAAATGACTCGCAGTATATTTTCTATAAATATTTTAATGCAATGACGAAATTCTGCCTTTGGGTACCAGGTCAAACTGACCAGGTTACATTTTGCAGTTATATATAAAGCATAACTTACACATGAAGAGCCTCTCAGAACAATAGTAATGCAAATGAACATTCTGTAATGGCAACATATACCACAGTATCAATGAATGTCTTGAAACGTTTCAGCACGATATACCACGGTATCAATGAATGTCTTGAAACGTTTCAGCACGATATACCACGGTATCGATGAATGTTTTGAAACGTTTCAGCCCGATATACCACGGTATCGATGAATGTCTTGAAACGTTTCAGCCCGATATACCACGGTATCGAATAACTGAGACAACACGATTCTTCGTTATTAAGGCTCC